TTATCCTTATCCATTTTAAAACAAAAAGTTCTAAAGTATTCAATTCATATATGTATCATTGTATCGTTGTTAATCTATTTCACAGCATAATTATATTATCACGTAACTCCTTCAGTTAAAACATAAGTAAAACATTTTTCATTTCCAGGTTTTTTCCCCCCAGCTATTGATAAAACAAGTCCCATATCTTATAAAATTGCTCGTCTTCTTGTTCTTTAATTTCAAATGTCAATTTACTCATTTCAGCACACTCACACTGTGTCTGGGTTTCTTGTTATCCTCCTGAAGATCTCAGAATTTTGTGAGATTTCAGTTCTGTAGTCTGTAGATGAAAACCCTAAAATGTGACAAGATTTGGTAAGAGTCCAGCTATGGCTTTCTTAATTGTAATAAGTATATTGAAATTTAATACATGGAGGAAATAAGTTCCACTCTTTATTGGGAGAGTGTTGATGGACCCTGATCCTCAGAGGTAATAAAAACCATAATTACTTAGCAAGGCAGATGCATTTTTGGACTGTGAACCTATGGCACGTATGCCTGAAGTGGCATGCAGAACCATGTTGCCTGGCACATGCATTGTTGCCCATTCCTCTTCTGGGTTTCTGGTGTGCATGCACGCACAATGATCAGCTTGCCGTTGTGCGTGTGGCAGTGCCATAAACCGGAAAAGCTGGTCTTCCATTTTCTGGCATGAGCATACGTGCCAACCAGCTGATTGGCACATGTGCATGCACGGCAGTAACCAGATGATTTGATGGCTAGAAATTCATTTTCCGGTTCGTGCATGTCCTCTGGGCAGCTCCTCTTCCTCGTCACAGCCCAGACGAGCTTGCGAAGTGCTCCCTTTTGGGCACTCAGTGCTGAAAAGTTTCACCATCACTACTATAACCTATATATTTTATTGTTTAAATAAAGGTAGCAAAACACATTTTTATGACATACAGAAAATATTAGACTCAACTCCACATCTTCAGATGGGTGAAAAAGACTCTAGGCTGAAATCTAGGAAAACCACTTTCAGTCGATTCAGACAATTCTGAACTGGTTGTACTATAGTTCTTTGTAGAGTACTTATCTTCTGCTCTCAGGGGAATTCCAACAATTCCTGCTGTTAAGTTCTTAGTGTTCTTTGAGCTTCTACCCCTCACCCAGTACACACGTCATTGCCATACTAGAAAACCTCAATGTGAGGCAGAGATCGGTTGCCAATTTTTTTACTACTGGGTTTCAGGTTTCAGGTTTCGTTTTATTTATATGCCGCCCTATTCCCAGCGGGACTCAGGGCGGCGAACAAACCCAAGGGGGAAAGGGAAACACAAAAAATACAAATACAAGCATTTAAAAATAGCCAACAGCCACACAGATCGAGAGGGGAAGGGAACTCATCAACCCCAGGCCTGCCGACACAGCCAGGTTTTAATGGCTTTTCGGAAGGCCTGGAGAGAGGTGAGGGTCCGAATCTCTGCGGGGAGTTCGTTCCAAAGGGCCGGAGCTGCCACAGAGAAGGCCCTCCCCCGGGTGGTAGCCAGATGGCATTGGCTGGTAGACGGAACCCGGAGGAGGCCAGCCCTGTGTGATCTAATGGGTCTCTGGGAGGTAATTGGCAGCAGGCGGTCTCTCAAGTACCCAGGTCCAATACCATGAAGGGCTTTATAAGTGACGACTAGCACCTTGAAGCGTATCCGGAGACCGATCGGTAACCAGTGCAGCTCGCGGAGGATAGGTGTAACGTGGGTGTACCGAGGTGCACCCACGATCGCTCGCGCGGCTGCATTCTGGACGAGTTGAAGTCTCCGAATGCTCTTCAAGGGCTGGTGTGGGTGTGCTCCTGCACGTGCTTGCATGTGTGTGCCGCTTCTGTGCATGTGCAGAAGCAGGTGGGCGGAGCATCCTGCTGTTGCTACTGCTACCGATTTGTTTCCTTTCTTGACTTTTGGTTGAATCTTTTAAATGGCATGTGGCTGGGGTTATCTCTGTGTATCTATTGGTAAAACCTTAAAGAATGGCAAGAATCATGAGCTATAAATATTCTCTACTCTTGGAATTTCTGCTGAACTGATTAGAAATTACACAAACCAGGATATCAGCCATCCAACATAGAACCAGTGGAAGACATGACTGGAATTGTCTGTCTCCTTGACAACCCCCACCCCCAAAATGAAATAAGTGTATTAATCCTATCAGAACTTAACTCATCTATTTTTATGTTTACTGAAGGAAAAATGCAGATCAGACTAAAGAAAGATCAGCCAAATGTTAGCAGGTTGCAAATGCAGGATTATCCATCTTACTAGATCATCCAGGGTAACATGTCTAATACCTAAATATCTATGGATATTCTCCATCATCCAGGTCATGGTTGTCCCAGAGGTGCTATTCCAAAGGCAACTAGATTTTATTGGGTTTTTTTCTTGAAAACATTTCATTTCTCATCCAATAAATTTCTTCATTTTGACTGAATAAGTCAAATTTATATTCTGAGAAATTTGGAGGAATTTATATTCTCTGCAGCCATCTAATTGTTAACCCTCCAAGTCATTAGCTCTCCAAGAATCATTAAGACTACTTGGAGGTTTATCTTTATCCTCGGAGTCACCTGAATGAGAGTGCAAATGAATGTGGAATCTTCTTGGGACTGCTGAAAGGATTGTGTTGTAAATAAGAGTTAGGTGGTGTCTTATAGTCTTCCCCCTACTGAGCAAGGGCGGTTCAATTTTAATATAGATGGCCTCTTTGACCCCTCTTTCAAACCAATGACCCTCGTTGCCCAGAATGTGAACTTTGCTTTCTTCAAAAGAGTGACTTTGTCTTTCGGATGTAGATGGGCTACTGAATATTGTCCTGATCGGTTTGTTTTCCTGTGTTTTGCCATGTGTTTGTGAAGTGGTTGTTTTGTTTCCCCAGTGTATAGATCTATACATGTCTTATTACACTGTACTGCACATACGACATTGCTAAGTTTGTTTCTGAAAGCTTTATCGTCCGGGTGGACAAGCTGCTGTCTTAATTTGTTCTTGGCTTTAAAGTGTGACTGCACATGTTATGTTAGTTGAAAATCCTTCTGAGCTTTTTAGATATCCCTGCTACATATGGAATGACAGCATTGCTCCATTTGTTGATCTCTTTGTCTGTTATAGAGAAGTTCCTGCTGAATCTTTTTTTTTTGTATTTGATGAAGGCCCAGAGGTAGGATTAGCTTCCTTGATGTGTTTTTGTTCTTTTTCTTTTGCTGGTAGGTTAACTATCTGACTTTCCTGGGCTGTGCAGTAGACATTAAGAAAGGCAGAAACCTCAACACCGAAGTATACAGAAAACCTACACACATTTACATATAGTAGAGCACAAATTAGGAGTGATCTGAGTGTTAACGATCAGGTGACTGCAAATAATATAAATACTTTCATTGCCCCCCTCCCCCTCAGTCAAAACTGAAAAAGCATCTTGAATGAGAAGCAAAATGTTTTTAAGAAAAAAGGGAAGAAAGTCCAGTTGCTTTTAGGAAAAGCACCTGTCTAATACCTGAACAATAACATCTGAAAATGTTATTAAATTGTGGGTTTTTTTTGCTGAAACATTTGCATCTTTTCTGAACAGGGCTTCTCAAATACTTGAAGGATACCCTCAACAATATTATAAAGGGTATGTAAGCATTGATTTTTTTTTAGCAAAAATGCACATATTTCTGTGACATATCAGTTTTGCCATGCTAATATTGTTTTTATTAATCTTCAGCTTTATAGATCTATTCAAGACAAAATTAGGTCTGCTAGGAGAGAATGAGGATGATGACTATTTGATTGCTTTCCTTCTAAAAGTGAGTTGTTTCCTTTGATTAAATATTTGTTCTGTGCCTTGAGTTATCAGTAAAGGCTGACACAAAAATGTGATCCTATTTCTTAGCTCATGGAAGACACAAGGGCAGATTTCACAATGACTTTTCGGCAACTCAGTGAGATTTCAGAAGACAAACTCAAAGATCTCAACATTCCTAAGGTATTGATAGATCATTGTTAAGAAAAAAAATGAGTTTTCTTTTAAAACAATGGATTGTGAAAGTTGAATTGGCATAGGTATATATTGGTATTGGTATATATACATACTGTATTTTTTGGATTATAAGACGCATCAAGGTTTTGAAGAGGCAATTTTTTTAAAAAAAGTAGGTAGGTAGGTAGATAGATAGAGGATTAGAGAGGGAGAGAGAGAGAAATACAGTAGGTAGGGAGGGAGGGAGAGAGAAAGAGAGGGTAGGTAGGTAGGTATCCTGTTTCTCTGAAAATAAGCCCTCCCTGGATAATAAGTCCAATCCAGCTTTTAAGCTCATGCACCAAAATAAGCCCTCCCCCAAATATAATCCATCCCTAAAAATATTGCAACACAGCAGCAGCCATGAGGTGACCACTCTCGCTGCCTCCTGCACCTCAAAAATGATAAGATCTCCCCGAAAATAAGGCCAAGCACATAAGACTCTGTCTTATTTGGGGGGAAACATGGTAGATAGAGGGGGGGAGAGAGAGAGAGAGAGAGAGAGAGAGAGAGAGAAATACAGTAGGTAGGTAGGGAGAGGGAGAGAGTAGGTAGGTAGATAGAGGGATAAAGAGAGAGAGAGAGAAATACAGTAGGTAGGAAGAGAGAGAGAGTAGGTAGGTAGATAGAAGGATAGAGAGAGAGAGAGGTAGGTAGGGAAAGAGAGTAGGTAGGTAGGTAGGGAGAGAGAGAGAGAAATACAGCAGGTAGGGAGAGAGAGTAGGTAAGTAGATAGGTAGATAGAGGGATAGAGAGAGAGAGAAAAATACAGTTGTTAGGTAGGGAGAGAGAGAGAGAGAGTAAGGAGGTAGGTAGATGTTTCCAGGTGTATTTATCCATGTGCTGGAGAAGGAAATCACTGACAATCTGCAGCACCTAAGACTTTGTTTCTGCTGGCACAGCACTTGAACAATGTAATTATCAATCAGTTAAAGAGCTTTCCAAAAGGAAAAAACTCTGCAAACCTCCCAAAAACTTGACTTGGCGAAAGATGGAATAAAAACCAATGGTGCCTTTTTAAATCACCTAAGATTTGCAGATGATGTTTTCTTCCCACAATACCCATAAGAGCTATAAAGACTCATACAAAAACTTCACAAAGCAAGGGAATCATTTGGCTTAAATATACACCTGAAAAAAGTTAGGTTATGCTTAATAATTTCACTAAACAAAGAAAAAATAAATAAATCTGGAGAAGAATTGGACATAGACCACTACATATAACTTGATATATCTCAATGGAAGGTGATACAATAAAGAAAATTGAAGTTTGTATTAAATGTGGTTGGCCAGCATTTGGCAAACTAAGTATAATTTTCAAGAACCTCCCTCTATGCCTGAAGAGTTTTGGATCAGTGTGTGTTGTCTGCTCTAACATGCCAGGGGAACATGGACACTAACCTGACAATCGATACAAAAGCTAAGAGTGGCATAAAGAGCCATGGAAAGATACATGCTCGGCATTAGAAGACAAGATAGAAAGACCAGCACATGGATTAGAGAACAAACCAAAGTATACGATATCAAGAGAGTAAAAAAAATGAAGTGGAAAGGTCACATAGCAAGAACAACTGTAGCAGGTGGGCCAAGGCAGTCAAAGAATGGATCCCACTTGATAAAAAGTGCCCACAAAAGAGATGGAGCGATGACATCAACAAGTATTGCATGTCCATTTGACAAAAGAAAGCTCAGGACCGTATAGGTTGGATACATGTGGAAGAAGGCTTCATCCTGCAGTAGATAGATAGTGACAATGACGATGATGACGATGATGATGATGATACAGATGATACACACACACACACACACACTACTTGCTGATATTGTTGATCCATTTTGTTTTAGGCTTCTTCCGTGGGTGCTTTTTATCAGGGTGGGATCCATTCTATGACTGCTTTAGTCCACCTGCCATCAGTTCTTCTTGCCATGTGACCATCCCATTTCAATTTCAATTCTTTTACTCTCTTGATGATATCATATGCTCTCGTTTGTGCTCTAATCCAGGTGCAGGCCTTTCTATCTTCTCTTGTAATGCCAAGCACAGGACTGCTGTTGTGGAGAAAATAGGAAGAGAAGTATTAAGCACGTTCACCACCTTGAGTCATTTATAGAAATAATTAAGGTGGGAGATATATATCTCCTACAATGGCGAAGATGCTTAGTACTACGTTCTCTTCCTATTTTATCCACAACAGCAATCCTGTGAGGAGAGTTGGGCTGTCTTCTGAGATCTAGGCCAACACCTTAAACACTAGACCAAATTGGGTTTCTGGTAAGATTGCAGATCTTATGTCACAATCTGGCTAGATATCAACTTTTTTAAAAATAATGTATCCAATGTTTGGTTTTTAGAAGAAAGAAGAACAGAATTGAAACAGCTGCCTCTTCCAATGTCTATCTGTCTAGGTTTCCATAATAGCAGAACATTTATGATTCTGATAAGTTTCCTTTTCAAATGCAAAACAAACATTGAGAGGAAGGCAAATGCCTTCCAATAGTGGAAAAATCCTAAGGAGTTTAGAGTTTCTTTATATCTGCCTAGAATATTTCAGGATATCCCAATCTCTTGTCTGCTCTTATTCCAAATGCCTAAGATTGTCTATAGATTTGCAAAATAGAGTCTACCTCACATATTCCCACTATTAACAATAATTTGGCATCCACTTGTTAATTGAAAAGCCAAATTGTTGCAATGATTTCCCCACAAAGGTTGTTTTCTTTACCATCTCATCACAATCGGGATGCAGCCTGGCATTATCAGTATTGTTTAATAAATTCTGTTTGAGCAGTGGAACAAACTCACTGTCCTCCATGCCAACTAAAGAAAGTGGGTTTTAATTTCAAGAAAAATGCTAACCCTGATCCAGGCCATTCAAATGTTGTTGTCTTTTGTGTGCAGAGAGATATTTGGCCAGTGGTGTGTGCTTGGAACATAGTTCTTTTCAGAAACATTGGTTATCTTAATCCCAAATCTAGCAAGGTATTCTACTATTTTTTATTTTTAAATACTGATTTAACAACTGTTGTTGAAAGTGAATATTTGTTACTGAAGTTCTATACAGGTCTATTCTGGAATATTAAGCTTCATTGACAAATGTAAGAATTCCTGTGTTTTGTATTGTAAGTGTTCAAATATTTTCATACAGGAATTCTGGGCTTTGCAAGATGTAGCTAAACACAACAACTTTTCAACCTGGATTGCTATGTACCTTTTGAGATTAAAAAGGTAAATATAATGGATTAATTTACTATAATTATGATTACATGTTAAAGAAGCGGAACATTAATTTCCCTAGATGTTTTCCATGCAACTCCTTCACTTATTTATGACGGTCTAAGTTCAGTTACTAATGGTTAGATAGCAACATTTAAAGTAATTTTAAATAAGTAGAACAGGACTAATGAGGGATGTGCTAGCCGTCCTATGCACAGAGCATCCCATACCCAGATTAATCAATATTGAACCATCTGTCCATGGATTAAAATACAGATCTTGATCTTATGTGTTTAATCTATGCATAGCCCTAGAGCAGCATTTCTCTACCCTGGCAATTATAAGACATGTGCCTGGGAAATTGTAGGAATGGAAGTCAACAGATCTTCAGGCTGGACAGTGTTTAACAAGAATACCAGGATGGAGATAAAAAAAAGGAAGAGTGGGATTAGTGGTAAGTAGAATGGGTTTGTTGATTATGTCTAAGGAAGTTGGAGGAGATGAGAAAAGAGCAATGTGCAACAAGCTAGCTGCCTCTATTACCTTAGGCTCCTCTTTGCCTTCTTAGGAATCATTGCCGCAAAATCAGCCTAGATAATCTATATAAAACAATAATTTCGAACTGAATGTCTTGCATTTGTGTTGTATAGGAATATAGGTGATTCAGACTCTGAAAGGAGGAGAAGAATGAGCAGTGAGTATAATAACAATTTGTTCAGTCATTCAAAAAGTTTATTTATCTTCTTATACATCATGGGTCCCCACCATGCTGGCTGGGGCATTCTGGGAGTTGAAGTCCTCAAGTCTTAAAAGTTGCCAGGTTTAACGGTCCCTATTATAGATTCAGCTTCTAAATACTTGTTTGTTCAATAAAATATATGTATATTGTTAACACTTGGAAAGCTTGATAATCAAAGAATTTTTCATTCTTTTTATTTAGAACAAACACAGGTTGGAAAGCAATGCAGTTTTGCTATAACAATTTAAAGATTACCGTAGTTTTGATCTTCCTGAATTTGCATTTTTCTATGCTGAACTTTTGTGATTCAAAATTCAAAAATAAATCGGACACAGTGCCCCCTCTCCTTTACACAAATGCTAGAAACTTCTCAAAGTCTGGATGGCTGTTTGCTGCTCCATTTCTTTCCCCTGAAAAAACGCAATTGTACCGACACATGGCATGTGCTCTATCCCAAAATGTTAATCTTCTCAGGTTTTTGCTTGATACTCACGTCGGCTCTCTGTTAGCGGCAGAGCATACTCCCAGCTGTTCAGCCCCATGTTATCAGAGGAAAGAAAAGAGGACTAGCCACACCAAACCTCCTCTTATTTGCCAGATGTTTGTAAAGGCCAATCAAGCCAAGCTGCATTTGCTGCCTGTTCTCATTGATTGAACCCTTAGAGGCATAGCTATCCCAGCTCGGTTCCACCACAAATCCACGAAGCCCTTATCTGCGGAGACATAAGCACGAAGACTAATTCGCGCCGTTCTAAGCGCTAAGGAAAAACGCGACCTTACCGCGATGACATAATCGCGGAGGGCAAAATCGCGCATTCCCAAGCACTCAGTACCCTAAACCTAACCCTAAACCTAACCCTAAACTTAACGCTAAACCTAACCCTAACCCTAACCCTAAAGCAAACCCTAAAACAAACCCCTAAACCTAATCCTAACCCTTACCTTAATTGAAGTCGGCTTTCTGCCGCGGCGCCGTTTTAAAGCGCCCTTCTGTTGCCGCGCTGTTGTCGTGGCAGTGATGACGCACGGTGATGATGTCGCGGCTTTAGCGCCGCGATTTTATCACCGCGATTTTGACTAGCGCGGTTTTGTCATGCCACGTCCCAGCTCAGCAACAGTTGCTGGTGCAAGAGGTGTGATTGACCCTCAGCCTCTCCAATGAAGAAGCAGAGGGCAAGAAGAATGTATCCAAAGGGGCATGCTTTGCAATCATGGTAGCAGAAACTGCTTGCCAGGGGATGCCAATCATCTTGAGATTTGCATGGTTGCCAGTGGACTATAGATTTGAAAACGTCGGAAATGTCTCTAGTGGCAAAGAAGGCCTCCTGTGTGGCATAGCTCAGAATTAAAGTGTGGTATCTTTTCTTCAGGGACACTGTGACTCAGTGGCTAAGAACCCTGAGTTTGTTGAACAGAAGGTCGGCAGTTCAGTAGTTTGAATCCCTAGCACCATGTAACAGAGTGACCTCCTGTTACTTCTCCAGCTTCTGCCAACCTAGCAGTTCGAACGCATGTAAAAAATGCAAGTAGAAAAATAGGGACCACCTTTGGTGGGAAGGTAATAGCATTCCATGCGCCTTCAGTGTTGAGTCATGCCGGCCACATGACCACAGAGATATCTTTGGACAATGCTGGCTCTTTGGCTTAGAAATGGAGATGAGCACCACCCCTAGAGCCGGAAACGACTACATGCATGTGCAAGGGAACCTTTACCTTTACTATCTTCCTGAGCCATTATTTTTCAAATAAGGAGAAATCATGTCATAGACAGAAGCAGCAAGGTTTCAAATAAAAAATGGCCACGATTCTCTCAATGGAAGGATGGTTGCACTTTAAAAGCTGCTTCTGGAAGCAAGTGCAATATATTGCGGATGAAAAATGACACGTTTTTGAAGATATCAGGACTTAACCTTTTTGTAAGAATTTTAGCTGATCCCCAGTTCAGCTGATATGGTTGGAATTGATAAGAGATTTAGGTTCACCATAAGATGATAGAGCCTATATGTGTGTCCATAAAGAGGGGTAGATCCTACTGGTTTAACAACTGGTTCGCTGAGCATGTGCTTTGCGCATGCACACCTGATGTGCATGTGTGCAGTTTACAGAGAAATCACCTTCCACATTAATGCTGGGGAGGAAAACATCTGAGGCACAGCTCTACTTTGCCACGTCTATCAGCTGGGCTTCAGAAAAGGGAATATAGATGCGTATAGCACAGGGGTGGGTGGACGGGCGGGCCTAGCTGATAGTCGGAGCTACCAGTTCGCCTGATCCGATCTGAATCCCAACCCTGCCATGACGGCTATAGCAGAGGTGATTTTGTAATTTTTTTGGGATTAGATTTATATCTTGCCTTTCCTCAGAGCTTCATCATAAGCAGCATGGACTCCTCAAATTATATACACTTTTTATTTGAGAGCAATTATGAAATGGGCCATCTTCAAACTACAGTACTTTTTATTTTCTAGAAGTAGGAAACAAACTAGCATTTGCGTAAAGAAAGATTTGGAAATTTATAATAACTTGAGAGAACATTTGTCAAAGGGTACAGGCCAACTCCCAAGGGAGTTACCCGAGTATAATTCTTTTCACAGTGCTTTTCCAGATAAATTACTAATTTGTCTTTACGAATCAATTTATCAATTTGATTCAAAAATATATTTTACACATTTGAGTGTGGATATGTTTGATTCACAAATATATTACATTCTCTCTGAGCATGGAATCTGTAGGAATGCTGTATTTTTCAACACACTGCATTGCTTTCAAATTACTTTGAGATTAAATCACATCTATATCTTGAGAATATAGTTTTTATGCAAAGCTCTGGTATCTGATCTGATGCCCAATTTGCAGAGGAGTACAAGAGAGGAAGAGAAGCAAAGTTCCAATGTAGAAAAACAGATTAAAAGCTACCGGTATTTTGCAAGCTGTGCATTTTAAGAATTGTTTAAGACAAGTTTATTTAAGGCAGAGACATCTTTCCTTTCCTTCCCCTTTTAAAGGAAGGTTCTACATTTAGACGAGAAAAGCAAAATGCGCAGGTACAGTATATGTGGTACTTTACTCAGTAGTAGTAACTGTGAGAGGGATCTTGGAGTCTGAGTGGACAATCATTTAAATATGACCCAGCAGCGTGTGCAACAGAGTTCTAGGCTGCATAAACAGAGGGATAGAATCAAGATCATGTGAAGTTAATGCCACTTTATAATGCCTTGGTAAGACCAATCTTTGGTCACCATGATGTAAAAAAGATGTGGCGACTCTTGAAAAAGTGCAGAGAAGAGCAACAAAGATGATTAGGGGACTGGAGGCTAAAACATATGAGGAACGGTTGCAGGAACTGGGTATTTCTAGTTTAATGAAAAGAAGGACTAGGGGAGACATGATAGCAGTGTTCCAATATCTCAGGGGTTGCCACAAAGAAGAGGGAGTCAAACTGTTCTCCAAAGCACCTGAGGGCAGGACAAGAAGCAATGGGTGGAAACTAATCAAGGGAAGAAGCAACCTAGAACTAAGAAGGAATCTACTGACAGTTAAACCAGTGATGAAATTCAAATTTTCTTACTACTAGTTCTGTGGGCATGGCAGAGGAAGGATACTGCAAAATCCCCATTCCCTCCCCACTCTGGGGCTAGCCAGAGGTGGTATTTGCAGGTTCTCCGAACTACTCAAAATTTCCACTACCGGTTCTCCAAAACCTGTCAAAACTTGCTGAATTTCACCTTTGAGTTAAACAATTAACCAGTGGAACAACTTGCCTCCAGAAGTTGTAAATTTTCCAACACTGGAAGTTTTAAAGAAGATGTTGCATAACCATTGTCTGAAGTGGTATAGAGTTTCCTGCCTAAGCAGTGGGTTGGACTAGAAGATCTCCAAGGTCCCTTCCAACTCTATTATTCTAATTCTAATCCTTTTCTTTCCTCTTCCCTTTGTCTCCCTTTTGGGGGGGGGGGGGAGATTGTCTCTAAAATGAAACCTAGGACAAAAATTAGCTAGAACTGGCAAGCTTTATCATTAAAAATAAAACAAATGTTTATTTTTTACATTAAATGGAATGGTTTTAGTTTGTAAAGTTGTACAGTTCTATTGTTTTTTTAATTTGATGCAGAGATTAAAATGCAATGAATAAGTGTAAACTAAGTGGTATTGTTAACCCTAACTCTAAAGAAATCATTTTATTCATTAGGGGAAGGAGGTTCATAAATTCACATCAGTGAAAAGGATAGCATAAATTTAATAAATAAGTAGTATTAGGAATCACAGTTTATTACTTTCTGTAATGTAAGTGTTCTACCATTATAATATATTCTAATCAGATTTTGGGGGGGGAGGAAGCAATATAAGGGCTGCCATCTTTATTAAAGTTTCCAGTTTAGAAAAAAAAATGGGATATTAGGCAGCATTTTGTATGGTTCTAGCACAGGTTCAGCATAAAATATATTATGGTGAACAATGGCTATTCAGTTTTATGTTTTTGTTTTTCTCACTTTCAGATCTTTGAAATCTGCATTTTCATTGTAGCAGTGGAAAGGAAGTAGATTTTGATGTAGCAAATAATTTTAGACACTTGCGTTTTATATGTGCAATTTATTTTCTTTTTGGTTGCAGGTGTTAACCCAAGATACGTGCTTAGAAATTGGATGGCAGAATCAGCTGTCCAGAAGGCTGAAATAAATGATTTTACAGAGGTACACGTTTACAAAGCTGCCTTGATATAGTCCTTATACACTAGAGACTAAAGTTGTTTCCTCTTGAACAGACCAAAGGTATTGTTTAAGCATTTTCGAATCTGCTGCATCTGTTTTTCCCTTTTTGTTTTTCAGGTCCGCTTCTTGAAACAGGTTTTGCAACATCCATTTCAGGCACAGATTCTGGCTGAGACAGCTGGTTATGCACAGCGTCCCCCTGCTTGGGCTAAGGATGTTAAAGTCAGTTGTTCATCTTGATGAAAATAATTTGTGATTAAATTAAATGGTGACATTTCCCCCATCATATATTTATATTGTGTTTTTGTTGAATTATTTTTCTCCTTTGCTGAATTTCTATATGTAGGCTAGGTTAAAATGGAGTTTGTAGTTCAGTGTTTGTACATCTCCTTTGGTGCAATTTCTTTTGTTTTTGGCAATCTTCTGTCTGCCTGCGAGAAACTAAATTAAATCTTATTTCTAAGCCTTTTCAAAAAGCACTGGACAAAATTAAAATAAGAGTTTGTATTTCTCTATCCCCCAATGCCCATTCCAAAGTCTGTACAGATGTGAAGCTATGTAACCAAAAAACTGCAGGCTTTTTATAGTTACAAAATCCTAAATATTAAACCAATACTGGTCATGTCCCAATGAGACAAAGAGGCTGATGCCGAGACAGTACATTATATAGTCATGGTAGGCCATGGCACGACAAAACCGCGCTCGACTAAAGCGCGCCCGATTAAACCGCATCGCTGACATCATCAACAGGGCGACAACAGCGAGCGCGGAGAAAGAAGGGCGCTTTAAATAGCACTTTGAAAACAAGCCGATTCAAATTAAGGTAAGGGTTAGGTTTAGGGTTAGGTTTAGGGTTAGGTTAAGGGTTAGGTTTAGGGTTAGGATTAGGTTTAGGGTTAGGTTAAGGGTTAGGTTTAGGGTTAGGTTTAGGGTTAGGTTAAGGGTTAGGTTTAGGGTTAGGATTAGGTTTAGCGTTAGGTTAAGGGTTAGGTTTAGGGTTAGGGTTAGGTTTAGGATTAGGTTTAGGGGGGTTAGGTTTAGGTGTTAATTTTAGGTTTAGCGTTTACAGCGTGCTTTTTTTTCCGCGCTGTTGTCGCGCTGTGATAACATCAGCTACGCGGTTTCGTCGAGTGCCCTTTAGTCGAACGTGGTTTTGTGGTGGAACCATGGTAGGCACTGTTACTATTTCTGTTTTTTTCCATTTCCCCTGATCTCTTTAGTCTTAAGTTTAGTTAGTTTTGTTTTGTTTACTGTCACTGCACATCGTACAATGAAATTGCCATCTTCAGTGTACATTGTAACTATAAAAATAAAAAACACAAACACACATCCTTCACGATATACCAGTAATGGAAAGCCTTTTTCGCCTTGCGTGCCCACCCCCGTAATTTTATGCCCCCTCCCCGCGCCTACCACCTGGGTATATGCACAGGAAACCCTCCCCTCCACGCTGCCCCATGCATGAGCGTGCGGCTTTCTTGGAGCCTGGGGAGGGCGAAACGGCCTCCCCTCTGTTGGCCCATTTTCCAACTTCCGGTTGGCCCAGTAGATCCATTTTTCACCCATCCCAGGCTCCAGAGGCTTTCTAGGATCTTGGGGAGGGCGAAAACAGCTTCCAACCACGTTTTCCGATTTCTGATTGGCCAGGTAGGTCTGCTTTTCACCTTCCCTAGGCAACAGAGGCTTTCTAGGAGCCTGGGGAGGGTGAAAACTTCTGGGTTGCTGGTTGTGCCATTTTTCTCCCTTCGAAGGCTTCAGGAGGCTTCACACACTGTCCGTGCCCTCGCCCAGTTTAGCAAAGGGGGAAAAGTCATGGTATGTCTCGTGACGCTGTGAGTCTGACATCCCTGATTTAGAGTCAAGAATGAGATGGATGTTTGCAAATTTTAATAACTAAAACCAGAAGCCCAAAGGACCCCAGCACTTTCCTTCCTATTTGTCTTTTAAAATCATTGATATGTTTTGTGCAGAATATGACATTGCATGCAACTTGTAAAATTCAAATCATTTGTGCATGGTGTACATGATATATTTGGCCCTTCCGCTTGCCTAGCAAATCAAAGACCATAGTCTTTTTTTGCTCTGATTTTGTACCAGTGACCAGTGGATTACAGGCCAACTTTTAATTGCAGCTCAGGTGTTGCAACTAGGAGAATCTGCATTTTGGAATTTACTAAACTTAAGATGTGATTGAAAAAAGAAAATCCAAAATTCATCATGGACATATATGTATTGTAAATATAATCAAAATCTTTTATTGGACAGCAAGTTCATTGGGAAGTTATTCTGTTATTCTAAAGAATATGTAAAGTCCCCAGATTCCATTTCTGGGTCCCAGGTTCAGTTTTCAAGAACTGTGACTTAATGAAAGGGTTAAATATAAAATTCTCCAAAATGCCAAGAAATGAGAATTGGGATTTGCCTGATTTTAAATTGTATTTTTTTTTGGCCTACCTTTTGATTTGGATGAAAGAATAATTGTTGCTAAGAAATAAGAGAAAGTTAGAATTGGAAGAGCACAAACTGAGATTTGGGTGGCATTTTTTTAATGCACAATAAAATTAAAGTGAATGTAGGTTTCAAAAATCAGAAAGTTAGGAGTGCCATTATATAAAATGAATATAAACTCAGACTTTGCTCAAAAATACTTCACTGGCTTAAGCATTTCATAGAAAAGAAACAGCGTAAAGAAATATGATTAACATATCAAAACTTACAAGTATAGGAGACTAGAGAACTTAAAAGGAAATCAAAAGAACAATTGACTGCTGACGTATTTATTTTTTAAAAGGAATGTGATTGCACTGGGGGAAAAATAGCTTGCATTTCTTCTCCACTCCCACAGATATCGGAGATATCAAGATAGTACATAATGTAAGCTGTTTGTATAGCATGATTATGGTTCCCAAGCCAAGTCTGCCATCACAATAAGACTGAATAAAACTTTTTTTACAATTACAGTATTTTTTGGAATATAAGACACACTCCCTCCCTCCGAAGGGTGAAAATTTGTGTGTGTCTTATATACCGAATGTTGCCCCGCCCACCCTTCAGCCATTTTTGGCCTCCACATGCCGTGTCTTATACCTGTTCCAGGCTGCATCATCGCTGCCTCTGTGCATTACATTTTTGGCCTCTGCATGTCACATTTTCTGGCGGTTCTAGGCAGTGGGGATCACTGCCATCGATCCCAGCTGCCTGGAACCGCTTGAAAACATGATGCACAGAGACCAAGGAGGCAGCCTGGAACAGCTGCTGCATGGTCGGACCAGTTCCGTGCTGCGCCTGCTGTACTCTCTGGAGCTGCTTGAGTATAATAGCTGAATTTTGAAGCTGCGTTTCAGCCCCAAAGAAGCTCATGGTGAGCATGCTCACAATCAGTGAACTGGGAACAGCTGATTGGAGGTATTCTGGGAGGCCAGTCCACCCGCCAATCAGCTGCTTATTCTGAATCAGGCTGCGATAATGTGCTGACACTGACCAGGTTGTTTGCTAAGGATGCTAACCAGATGAATACTGATTGATGCTGTTAGGCAGAGGCAGAATGTTTTTTCTTATTTTCCTCCCCAAAAACTAATGTGCATCTTATACTCCAGAACATCTTATACTCCAAAAAATACAGGCATATTGCAAACCCTTCCTCTTCAATCTCTCTATTCTTGGAGGGAGTGAGTATGGGATATATGACTATAATAGGATCAAGTGAATGAGGGATGCTTCAAGGGTCATTAAATAGTTGTAGATTTGCTTTAAATTTTAATTTTTAGCACCATCATAACTTTCATTTAATGTGAACTGATGTAGCTATAAAATTTTTTTTAATATTATAGAAGCCAAAGCATAAAACATACCATGGCTTAATATAGTGTATGAATCCAGCCATTAAGTGTATGCTTTTCATTAATTTAGACACTGGGTTGAAGAAATAAGTTTTATTTAAGAAGATTCCAGTAAAGGAGAATAAAAATGAAATATACATGATAAAATATATGTATATAAGAAGAAATAAATTACTTTCTTTGAGATAAACATGTTTAGATATCACCTAGTACAACCGCTACATTTGTAGTTGGGAATGGAAAAATTAAAGCTATCTCCAAAGGAATTATCCTGCATTAAACCAAATAAATAACACTGCAGAGATTGCCTGCAGATAGTATCACTGAAAACAAAATTCACTTTGTCTTTGAAAGAAACAGAGGAAACAGCTTTAATATATTGTATAACATTCATAATAAAGTTGTGAGTTGCATTTTCTCAAAACCCACAATGGGAAACAAAAAAGTAGATGGGGCAGATATGGGGCAGATTTTGATCCCATAATGAAAGAGGGAATTTACAAGCTGTGAAGTGAATTTGTTATTCAGTGTTAACACCCTTATTTCTGCAAAGTGTTTTAGCCTATGATTAGATGGGCCAAATTGCCAAGGCCTTATCTAGGCTATTCTTACCTACAAGTGGTATGGAGGGAACTCTGAAAAAAAAAAAAGATTTCTATTAAAGTAATCAGCCTTTAAATTAAACCTGATTCTTAAAAAAAAAACTTCTGGATCAAATCAAACAATTTTTCTGGAACCTGTTTTCCTCCAGGACTTCTCCTATGCTTGATTGAATATTTTAGTCTTCAAGCAAAAAGAATGGGACCAAACCTTTGGTCTATGTCTACCATACTTTTTTCTAGCATATACTCTTTTAGATCACGTTATGTTTGAAACTACTTAGTTCATGAGGACTCACTCCTTTTCTTTTGCAATGCTCTCATGAGATCAGACATGAAATCTCCTTGTTCAGAAGCATGTCCCCTTGAAATTGATCCGCTTTGTTTTGGTCTTACGACTGGACAAGCACCTTCTTCTTGTCTTCTAGGAGGAGGTGGGGGTTTCTTTTTGGTTGCAGGAGGAGGACTAGGGGCAGGGAAGGAGGGCGGTGGTGGAGGAGTGAAATCAGGAGGAGATTCATAGTAGTCAGGTAGTGGTGGAGATGGTGGCGGTGGCGGCGGCGGTGGCAGATCTTCCAAATTGGGAGGAAGTGGTATAAATTCAGGAGGTGGTGGAAATTCTTCATAATTTGGTAAGAAACTTGGATTTTCTCTCTCAGCAATGGCGGATAAATCCAATGAAGCAGTAATAGCAGAAGACCGTCTTTGAGGAGGAGGAGGAGGGTGCAAACCACTAGGTTTGCGGATCTGTTTCACCTGTTGTACAGGTAGGGATGATGCTTGA